TAATTACTGTTCAGATCATGCTGTGGTGACACATGGGCTGCATAGAAAGCTGCTGCCCCCTGGGCCTAAGGAGATCGGAGAGAAGGAAGGTCACGACTTCTGTTATCTTTTAGACTGTGTCTAATGGGACTAGCTTAAAAGCCGAAAAATCAAAAAGCAGGGTTTTTGTTTGTTTGTATGTTTGTTTTAGCCAAAACAAAATAACAAGGTTTTTTGTTTCTTTAAGTAAATTAGTTGTTTAAACGAATCTACTACTGGTTGTTTGATCATTATAAAGATTTTAACCAAATTGAAGCTGTCAAAGACTCAGGAAGTAGCCAAATGCTTTGGTTGAATTACCTTCAGATCCATTTCGACTTTGATAATGGGCTAAATATTCCTAGTGGAAGACGGTAGAATACAGAATCCCCAAATTCATTTCCCTTCAGAAGTACCAAATGGGAAGTGAAGAAAACACTGGTCTCAATGGAAAGATTGGGAACACGGATGGCACGTGGCAGGCCTGTGTTGCTGTTTCCCCCATTTCGGACCCAAGACGATCCCCATTTCTCATGGCACTCTTAACTCCCACCAAGTGTGCACCTGGCTTCAGAAACCTTCTCACCACGGTGCTGTGGGAGACTGCTCTTGCTGCAGGACTTCTCTGCCTTTAGTGCGTGCTTTTCTTGGTCACGCTGCTTTGAAGAATGAAGAGGTAGACCAGATGAAGAGTGGTGGGCAGCAAAGCCAAGGTTATTGAGTGATAGTACAAAGCCCCCGAAGAGCGAGGGAACCCAAGAGAGTTACTTTGGAGTTTCTAAGGTTAGGGTTTTTTATGAGCTCCTTTGCAGAACTATCTTAAGCAACCAGGGTGTGCTGAGTCATGCCAATCAGGGCTTTGGTCATGCATTTGTCTACCTATTAGGTTAATGTTTATGTGCTGATGGTCTTTTTGGGCTGACATCTGGGGGCTGATGTCTTAACTGCCCGTTGCTTGTGATAGGGACAAATGCTTTGTGGTTGGGGCGCCAGGGTGGCTCAGTCGGTTAAGCATCTGCCTTCAGCTCAGATCGTGATCCCAGGGTCCTGGGATCAAGCCCCACATTGGGCTCCCTGCTCAGCAGGGGTCTGCTTCTCCCTCTGTCCCCCCTCCCCCGTTTGTGCTCTCTCTCTCTCTCCCTCTCTCTAATAAATAAATAAAATCTTAAAAAAAAACCCCAATGCTTTGTCGTTAATTGTTTTATTTTAGGAAGTTCTGCAGAAGCCATTTCTGCAAAGGCTGCAAAGCAGAATGCTAGTGTGGTTCTGTCTAAGCTGAAAACAGGATGTTAGTGCTGTATTGTCTTAGCTGTCCTGACTCTGTATTTCCTTGTTGGGGACCCTGGTCCTAACTACCTAACTGTCCAAGTAACTCCTAACACTACTAGTCAAATGGACTGGACCTGGAGATGAGACTTATTTACAATGTCTGATTTAGAAAGAATATAAACTCAAGGGGGAAAAAGAAACCACTAGAAATAGACACTCATCCTCAGAGTTTGTCAATGTCTGCCAAATCTAGGGGAAAGAACCTATATGGTGCATTGACACCTCTGATGGATTTCAGTCTCAGGATACCTTATCAAAATACTAAAGTTGAAGAGGCCGAAGTCACCCTGTTCTATGCCCTCACTTCTATGACTCAGGAAACTGCATCAGACTTGAACGGTGTCAAGCTGAGCACCTGGGCATCCTACTCCTCTGTTCTTCCTCCATCTCATGCTCGCCTCTACTGACCAAGTGCTGGGCTCAACAGATCTTTAGTGCCTTGCTTATATTGCCTGTGTATTTATATATAGACTTGTATGGATTATTGTATGAGAGAATACCGCATGAAAATGATTCATTAGTAAATTAGCAATTTTATCAATTTGTAAAATTTTTTTTTCTTTTTACAGATTTATTTATTTATTTGAGAGAGAGAGTGAACAGGGGGAGAGACAGAGAGATAGAGAGAGAATCCTCAAGCAGATTCCCTGCTCAGCGTGAAGCCTGGCCTTGGGCTCCATCCCAGGACCCTGAGATCATTACCTGAGCCGAAGGCAGACGCCTAACTGACTGAGCCAGCCAGGCGCCCCAATTTGTAAAATTCTAATCACAACTTACTTCAGAGGTTAACTTATTGGTCAAAAACTGCACAACCTAGTTGTCTTTTGATTTTTGAATAGCAGTAAATTTAACATCTTTGAACATGGACAGAAAGAAATTGAACAAGATTTCACAATGAAAATACCAGTTTATAAAAATTCAAAACATAACAGGGATGATTAAATGATATATAACAGCTTCCTAGGATTTCAGCATTTCCTATGCTTACTAAAATTTCTAATTAAAAAGGAAGACTCACTAGAGTTTTCTTTTTTTTTTTTTTTAAAGATTTTATTTATTTGACAGAGAAAGACACAACGAGAGAGGGAACACAAACGGGGAGTGGGAGAGGGAGAAGCAGACTCCCTGCCAAGCAGGGAGCCTGATGCGGGACTCGATCCAGGGACTCCAGGATCATGACCTGAGCTGAAGGCAGTCGCTTAACCAACTGAGCCACCCAGGCGCCCTCACTAGTGTTTTCTTAAGGGTTCAGAAAAGTACTATTTAAGGGTCTTTCTAGGACCCACAGAGGAGGCAGAACACAGACCCCTTCTCCTCAGGCTTCCCTTTCACTAAGAAACAGTCCTGACCTTGCCATTGACTTCTTCCCTTTTTGCCAGGGTTTGTAAGGTTGACTTTTCCTCTTGATGCCAAAAGCAAAGATAATAATACCAACCCTCTGCCACATAAATAAGAGGTCTGCTACTTTATTTTTAAAGATTTATTTGATAGCGAGAGGAAGAGCCAGTGGGGGGGGAGGGGCACAGGGGGAGAGAGAGAATCCTCAAGTAGACTCCCCAGTGAGCACAGAGCCTGATGCAGGGCTTGATCCCAGGACCCTGAGATCATGACCTGAGCCGAAATCAAGAGTTGACCAGTTGGCTGCTTAATTGGCTAAGCCCCAGATGCCCCAGAGGTCTACTTTAAACCAGCAGCTCTCAACCTTGGCTACAGTTAAAATCATCTGCTTTTAACACTCCCAGACCAGATCAATTGAACCAGAATCTCTGTGGCTGGACCCCAGACATTTATAGTTTTTAAAACTCCCCAGTGTTTCCAGTGTGCAGTCAAGTTGACCAGCCACTGACTTGAACCAAAAGGATGAAATGTTACTGCAGGAGCATCATAAATCAGATGAAGGTCAGGCCCCAGATGCACTTCCGAGATCATGAGAGCCACACCCCACACTGTCTTTACTATTCTTGTTGCACATCAATGGAAATATAGCATCCTCCTCTAGCGTATAAGGAGATCAGGAAGCAATCCCAGGCTGAGGCAACAGATAAAGAGAGCCCGGGGTTCTGGAGCCAGCCAGTATTACCTTGCAATGTGCAAATGTGAACATTTCTTCTCCTCTTCCTAGCTTGCAATTGACCATGGTGGGAGTATTTACACCATGGAAATTGGCAAATTCTACCAACTGGGGCTTGTTTTGCCCTGGGGAGCCAGTGGTTACTGAGCTGACTAGATCTCTAGTTCCGGACCCTAGTCAAACCTGGGAAAGGGAAACTTAAAGTCACCCTTGCTTCATTAGCAAGTCTGAACTTATATGATGTATATTACTGCTCTTTTAATTATTGGCTAAAAAAAGGGGGAGTAGGTGCACCTGGGTGGCTCAGTTGGTTGAGCTTCCAACTCTTGATTTTGGCTAGGGTCGTGATCTCGGAGCTAGAGCTCTGCATTATACTCCCTGGGAGTCTGCTTGAGATCCTTTCCCTCTGTCCCTCCCCACCCCCCACCGGCTCAAGCTCACTTGTGCACTCTTTCTCTCTCTTTAAAATAAATAAATATAAATAATTATTTTTAAAAAATAGGTGGAGTAAACTCAAATAGCAAGAAAAATTAGGAGTTTGCTACTACCATTATGATCCTGGTAGCTTCCCTGGTGAGTAGGAGAGGACAGCAAGAATTTAACATGGCCCAATACATCCCTTTTCCTTGTCACTTTTGTCTAGGTGTCTGTTATTTATTTATTTATTTATTTATTATTATTATTTTTTAAAATATTTTTATTTATTTGTCAGAGAGAGAGAGCACAAGCAGAGGGAGCAGGAAAGGGAGAAGCAGGCTTCCTGCTGAGCAGGGAGGCTGATGTGGGACCCGATCCCAGGACTTTGGGATCACGACCTGAGCCCGAAGGCAGACGCTTAACCGACTGAGCCACCCAGGTGTCCTCTGTTATTTATTTAAAAAAAATTTTTTTTTCTGTTATTTCTTTAGGTAGAGAACCAAGATAAAGGAAAGGTGGATAGTTATTGTAATAGTTAAGTTATAGTATAAACTGCTCTAATATGGACACTCCAAACCACAGTGACTTAGGCAAAAAAGAAATTTTTAACTGTCATGGAAGTTTCCATAGGTAAATGGTCCAGGCTGTTATGGGAGCTTTCGCCTCTGACTACTCCCAACTCCTGTCATCACATCTGCATACCAACCAGTCAGAAGGGAAGAAGGAGTAAGGGGAACACATACCTTTCCCATTAAGGACACAACCAGGAGTTACATCACTTCCACTCATAGCCCATTGGCCAGAACTCTGTCTTCATGGTCGCACCTAACCCTAAGGGAGGCTGGGAAATGTAGTCTTGACTAGGCGATGTGCCCAGCTAAGCCTCAGAAAATTTACTATTAAAAGAAGAAGGCGAGGGTGAATATTGTTGGATAAGTAGAAGACTTAGCCACACCATCCTACTTGTTTAAATGCAAGTTTATGTGTTGTCATGGCTGGAGGTAGAGGCTTAGAAGGACAGTACTTTAAAACATTTTATAGACTACAGTATGTTCTCAGGGTTTTCAAGTACTGACTCTTCCAGGAGCTTCCTAGGTTAGTAGAAGACATCATTTCTGGAAATTCACTGGAGATCATTTTTAGAGTTTATTTCAATGTGCACGAGCGAAAATATTGTGTATCATAAAACTTGGTCTTAGACTTTCCAATGTAGCATTTTACTTGAAATATTTTTGGCCGGAATAATTCTTTCAAAGACCATTTTATTAGGACTTATGAAAACACATGGGATGTTTTTACAATCACAAACTACAAAACCGTAGAGCATAAATATGCTAAGTGTAAATAAATTGGAATTAATGTAATTTCCAGTCTTTCCCTCTCCAACTCACTTTACAGTCATCACACTAATCTTTCTTTAAAAATCACTTCTGTCATAGCACTCTTCTGTTTAGAAACCTTAGAGCCTGTGTTTTAAAGTCAAATTCTTCTGCTTGGCACTGTGGGGCTCCATGTATGTGTGCTAGGGTCCTAACTAGACACGCATGAAAGAAAACAGAGGACTGATCAGGAACTTAGGAGTCTTGGATTCCGGGTGGGTGACATTGGACACAGCCACATTCTGGTGTGGCTCCAGGGAGGCTGACCCTGAAACTAAGATCCAAGATTGACTAGACCAGCAAGGAAAAGAGCCTTCTTTAAAGTAGTTGTGGAGATCAGCTTCTCACATTATTCTTGATGATCCCTGCCTTCTGATGTGCACCCCCTTGTCTAATCCCTTCACCTGGAGTGCAGGCTGTATCTAATGACTTGCTTCTAACAAGATACAGCAAAGGTGACGGGATGTCACTTCTGAGATTAGATTACAAAAGAGCAGGCCCTTTGCTCCTATTCTGTCTCAGGCTTTTCTTGCCTTCTCTCTGATGAAGCAGGATGCCATGTTGTGATCTGCTCTGTGTAGAGGCCCATGTGGCAAGGAACAGAGAGCAGCCACCAGCCAGAGGCCATGTTGTGAGTAGCACTCTTCAGAGGCCTGCATGGCAAGGAATTGATGCCTCCCGTCAAGAGTCAGCCAGGACCGAAGGCCTGCCAACAGCCACAGGAGGGAGCTTGGAAGTACATCTTCCCCTGGTCGAGCTTGGAGATGACTACAGTTTCTGCTGATGCTTGAGTGCAGCCTCTTGAGAGACTCTGCGCCAAGGAATCCAGCTAAGCCGTGCCCTGGTTCCAGACCCCCAGAAACTTGTGACAGTGAAGATGTTGGTGTTCTAAGCCACAAAGTTTTGGGATGATTTTTATGCAGCGATAGGTAATGGATACAGTAGTACTAGAGACCAAATATCATCTGAAAATGTAGGGGAATTAGGAAAACATTAATTAGAAGTTAACGCTATTAAAACTGAATTTAATTTTGAAAATCACATGCACAGTCAAAGTCAATAAAAAATTAAATAACACCAATAAATCTTGGTCTAGTGACTAAGATTTATGCTCAGCCTTTGGCCTTCAAAGGAACATGTTTGATCTTCCATAGAATGACTGTTGTTCTGGCACAATATAAAATTCTGTCTCCTCAAGAATTGGGAGATAAAAGATCTGAGGAACACATTGGTATGTAGGCCAGAAATTATTGGTTTCAACCACTTTCCTGATCGTTGTGATGAAAAAGAAGAGGAACCTCATTTTTATGCATATTCTAAATCTACACTGTCCAGTACAGTTGCCACATGTGATTATGCATATATAAGTTACAATTAATTAAAACTGAGTAAAATCTAAAATTCAGTTTCTCAGTCATACTAGTTTCACTTCTAGTGCTCAAAAGCGTCAACAGGCAGTGGCCATAATATTGCACAATACAATATAGAACATCTCCAAAATTGCTGAAGGTTCAGTTGGGCGGCCCTACCGCAAAGTGCTTTCATGATGCCTAATACCAGTGTTCACGAAGCTTGTTTCACTATTGTTCTCTTCACGTATCATTAAAGCAATAGAAGATGTCAGGTGTTCTTGGCTACTCAGGAGGAATCAGCAGCTCAGCCAAACTGGAGGTATTCTGAACACATTGCAGAGCATCCAAACTGAGTGGGAAGAATTTATGTTCTAAAAAGCATTAGAAGGCTGGTGCCATAAAGGACTACCAAAAACTCAGTCTTTAGTTGAGCTAGTGGGAGTCACCACCAGCTCTCAAACATAGGCCAACTCACATGATCGCTCTGGGCTTTAGTTTCCATATTTGTCAAATGAGAGCAAAAGGGCTGATAATCCTCAAGTTCCTTCAAGGTCTAAAACTCAATGACTATACAGCCATCAAAGAGAAGGAAATCTTGCCATTTGCAACTATGTGTATGTATTATGTGGGGTGTATTATGTGGAGTGTATTATACTAAGTGAAGTAAGTCAGTCAGAGAAAGACAAATACCATATGATTTCACTCATATGTGGAATTTAAGAAACAAAACAGATGAACATTAGGGAAGAGGAGAAATAAAATAAGATAAAAACAAAGAGGGAGGCAAACCATGAGAGACTCTTAACTACAGAGAACAAACTGAGGGTGGTTGGAGGGGAGGTGGGTGGGGGGAAGGGCTAAATGGGTGATGGGCATTAAGAAGAGCACTTGATGTAATGAGCACTGGGTGTTATATGTAAGCGATGAATCACTAAATTCTACTCCTGAAACCAATACTACACTATATGTTAACTAACTTGAATTTAGATAAAAACTTGGAGAAAAAAAAGTAGAAAATAGAGAAAAAAACAACAAAATAAAACTCAGTGACTATATATATTACTCTAATGAAAAAGTGGTTACCTGTGTAAATTATTTGATGATTCACAGACGCAGGGTTAGGAGTCCTACAGCTGGTTTAAAACTGCCTCCTTCAGGTTTCCTCCTTCGTCCAGCCTCCTTTCTTCTTCCTGGATGATATCAGGGCACAGCAAGGAGAAGGGGGGAGGGAGTAGGATTGCACATGGGGAGTTCATCCACCTTCCTCTAAAGATCCGGCCATTCCAAACTCCTAGTCACCTTGCGCATCCCTCAGTGGGTCTTGTAGGGCCTTGGGAATTTCTTCAACCTCACGTGACTGCCATAGGCAGCCAGGCCTGGTGGTCTCTCAGTGCTTTCTCTACTTAAGGATACTTTACCACCATGTCCACTGCCCTGGGGTTACTTCATGTCTTGGGCTAAGATGCTTGAGGTTTTCCTCAGCTACTATGTCTTGAAGGGGGAGAAACAAGTCCTTGTGCTCTGGATTCTCTCAAATTTTTCTGTTCATTCCAAGTATTTCCCACTCCCCACTGGCTCCTGGATTTTTAGGTTTGTCCCAGGGTGGGAGCTCCCACATTCACATAAGACCTCTTGCCCTTCACCTCACTTCCCCTTCATGTCTAACCAAAAATGAGTTTCCACCTTACCCTGCCTCTCTACACTGTTTGTTTGTTTTAAATATTTTATTTATTTATTTGAGAGTGAGAGAGCACAAGCAGAGGGAGGAGCAGAGGGAGAGGGAGAAGCAGACTCCCCATTGAGCAGAGAGCCTGATGTGGGGCTTGTTCCTGGGACTCCAGGATCATGACCTGAGCTGAAGGCAGATGCTTAACCGACTGAGCCACCCAGGTGCTCCTCTACACTGTTTTGTAGCAGACTTTCCTCTCGTACCCTCTACAAGAATTCTGAAAGCTTCCACACTTTTAGGTTGACATGTGAAAATTTTTATCTCATGCTTAATAGTTGCAAAAGATGTTACCTCTGTGTATTTTATATCGTATATATATGCTCTAAAAAGATTTTTGTTAAAACCTTAGAACATTTGATTTTGGTCCTTCAACGTATGGAAAATAACCATGCAGAACCTAACTGGCAAAGTCAATTTTTCTTATCTAGCCCGTCAGCCAAAGCAACCATACTTTCTGTCTGGACAAGTCTGGATTTTATTTCTCAATGTTTCTCAAAGTCAATGTTTCAATATAAGTCCTCATGACAACCATATCACTTCTGAATTCTAATTCAAGGAAACAAAGATAAATAGATGAGGCACTTAGCCATGGATGACGCTGCAGCCTGGATGAGTTGAGGCCCCATGGCCCTCAGTATTTTCCTGGGAGCTCACCTGGAGCTGCTCCCAAAGAACCCTCCCTCAGGGGCATGCATTCTCCAACTGTCCAGTCATTTGGCGACCCAGGGGTTTTTGTACCCTTGGGCAATGTACTATTGTAGGATTCTGGACAATGAGAGGTATGCTTTTCCTTTGCAAAGGAGGAGACTACTTTGAAAAAGCAGGGTAATCTGCAAATTCTAAAAGTAGGTTAATTTTAGGAAAGAATACACATGGAAGTTGATTATTTTGAAAACCGTTCCCTTAAAATCCCCAGTGACCACGCATCCCTTAGCAAATCTTCATGCACTCCCAGAGGGACACACACAGCAGGGTGAAGACCAAAGCATTCTAGTGAAGTCTGAGCTCAGACCCCTGAGCTTTGCTCTTTAAGTGTTGAAAAGAAAACTTTTTGAATTTAGGCAAAACCCTTTTTTTTCTCTTAACAAAGCCTGGAATTATCTTGCTGTGAACTGAAGACATTTAGTCTGACACTCTAAGCTGAGTAATGACTTTGTTCTACTTAAGTATGCAGCCTTTCCCCGAAGTAGTCAAACCCATTGATCCAACGAGTGAGGGGTCATAGGACAACACCACTTATGGGGAATGAAAATTACTCTGGTTTAATATTTCAAGGACATCATCTTTCCTTTATCTTTCAATCAGAATGGGGATGAAACGGACTGAGTTGTTACAGAGCAGAACCAAAGGCACGGAGTCAGTTGCAGATTGGGGGCTGCTCTGAGCAGAGCTGGAACAGTGAGAGAGGCTGTCCCACTGGGGCCTGGGCCTGTGGAACCCTAGCAAGATGGACCCTCCTCCCTAGTTTCCACCAGGTGAGGGTATAGAGCTATGACCGAGAGTTTGGCAAGTTCTGGTCTTGAGGTTAATGCCGACTCTGGGTGCTGTTTCTTAGCATGTCAGTTGAGATTTAAAGTCACCCATGACTGTGATTTTCACTAAAAAAAAATTAGAGTGGGAGGAAGCAAAGCAGAAGAGGCAAGGAGCTGTTAACATCACAGGGTAAAAAAACCCCAAACAAACCAAGTTAACAGTCTCATGGTGCACTAGGTAGAAAGACCTCCCGCTGGCCTCTCTCAAAGATGGCAGCAGTGGTCCCAGCCTCTCTCTAGCTTGTGAAATGCCCTCTCTCCTCATCTTTCTCTGCAAAGCTCTCTCCCATTCCCTTCAGGAAGAACACAAATGATTCCCCTTGTCTCATACAGAGCACTTGATCATGGGTATACTCCATGGTCTTAGGGGCTCACCGCACCCTACTGCCCCCCAGTATTCTGTATTTCTCCAAACTCTATTCCCATCCCAAATGGAATTCCGCTGTCATCAGAATTATCTTGTTATACTTGGAAAGTAGTGAGTTTCCCATTCATTCATTAATGAGGTGATGGTCTGTCAGAATCTTCCAGAAGGGGTTCCAGCACTGGCAGTAAGAGGGTGGGAGTGGTTGAGTTGGATGAGGGAAGCTTTTACTGTTCCTTCTACATCAAAACTCTTGGACTCTACCCTTCAAGTTGAGATTTTTAAAAATGAAAATAATATTACTGTTGGTTCTAATGATGAAGGTAATATGTGTACATTGTTTTAAAAAGGCAGTTCTTACAAAAACCTAGAAATTCAAATAATTCACCCAAATTTCCATCACCCAGAGAAAAGCACTGCCATTTACATTTTGGCATACATCATTGGAAACTCCAAATTCATACAGTATTATTTATTTGCTGACTTATTTTATAAAAATTGGATTGAAGCCTGCCACTTTAGAACCTGTTTTTTCCCCAGTGAATATATTTCCACATCAATGATTATAAACCTCATCATTTTTAATAGCTACAGAGATTTCTGTGACTTACTTAACCAACATCCTATTGTTGGACATTTAGGTTGTTTCCAGTTTTTAGATCATGCTGCAATAAGGATTCTAGCACATAGCTGGTAAAAAGAGACTTTCTGAAGTTTCCCTTTGCTGAAAACTTTTGAAATTAACTACTCTACCACACATTTTACCCTTATGGGAATCTATTTTTCTTCACTTTCTTAAGTTCTTTAAGACACAATTGTAAAGTCATTTTTAGAAGATGATAGTTATCTGGGGCGCCTGGGTGGCTCAGTGGGTTAAGCGACTGCCTTGGGCTCAGGTCATGACCTGGATCCAGGTCATGATCAGGTCAGCCATGATTGAGTCCCGCATCAGGCTCCCTGCTCAGCAGGGAGTCTGCTTCTCCCTCTGACCCTCCCCCCTCTCATGCTCTCTCTCTCTCACTCTCTCCCTCAAATAATAAAAAAATAAAATCTTAAAAAAAAAAGAAAATGATAGTTATCAAATCAATACTATGTTGTTGTATCATTAGATAAAGGCAGCTCTTTAAAAATTTAAATAACAGGCTTTATTTGCATACACTCCAGTGTAATATGCCATGTAAGGAAATATTTCCCGTCATTATTATTGGTAAACCTCATAAGGATAATTTTTTATCAATTTGCAGCTCAGTTATCACTCTAAGAAAAGTTGGAATAATCTCCATATCCTACAGGGAAATCCAATTTATATGAAGTTATGTATCCATAAAGAACAGCTGGACTGTGATCCAAATGACTGTAATGAAGCTGATGATATTTAACAATAAAGTTTTCTGTAATTAAATTGAAGTGAACTCCAAAAATTCTACCTAGAAAAAAAGTTCTCAGCTGCCCTCAAATCTAATGGCAGGATTTCCTCTGGAGAGAGAATTTTCTCTGCTAATGCTTTGGGGTTGATTAATCTGGGTTTGTGCATGACCTGGTGGCTCTATTAGTTCGATGTACCTTTCTGGGTCCAAATATCAGAAATCAGCTCATGCTAACTTAGGCTAAAATGAGAAATATGGGAATGCGGAGGTGCCTTGTCAGTGGGATCTTGGGGAGGTCCTGACACAGGGACCTGGAAAGCTGGGTAGCCGCTGAGGCCGGGAGTCAGACTGCTTCTCTGCACACCCTGGCTCCTTCTCTTTGCTGGTGCCCTGGCCTCTCCTGGGTCTCTGCTGTGGGAAGGGCTTGCCCCACAACCCAGCCTCACTTACCTTTTACAGGTCTAGCTCTCTGGAGAAGGAAAGTCAGTTGATCTTTTGCCCTCTCTCTCCCAATTCCAAGTGTAGAGAAAAAGGAACTCTGGCCTGGATCAGATGACTGCCCCTTCCTTCCTCAACCAACTGTGGCCTGGAGGCCAGAGCACATCCCACAGGATGGCTGCCCGGGAGGCTCAGCCGCTGGAGTGGTCACTGTGAGTCGGGAAAATGCTCCGAAGTGTTCCCTCTGAGTATGAAGCTTGAGAGAGAGGCGAGTCCTACAGAAAGTCAAACGCCATTAGATTATAGGTGTTGGTTATAAACTTGGGAATCGATGAGATGGTGTAGTTAATTTTTCATTGTGCGGAGTAAGGAGGGAAGGACATGCACAGAATCCTGAGGAATCTGACTTGAGGGCTGAGCAAAGGAAAGGGAACCATTTCTCCCAAAATAAACCTGACTTGTCAGTGAAGAGAACTCCAGGAATGTGTCAAGAGCTGCCAAAGGCATTTGCCTTTCATTTCTGGAATTTATCAAGTTCACTGCTTGTTTCTCTCAAGGGATTTTCTAGATCCTTTGCCTGCTTCTCTTTCCACCTGCTTTCTGTGCTGGCATTTCTCCACACAAGGATGAATCCAGGTTTGAATGGGACCCTGAAGCTCACACAATAGTGGAGGCCATTTTAAGAAAAAGAATACAAAATTATAAATACAAAATAAGGTACAAAAATATTTATTTGGAATGAAGAGAGAAATGACAATAATTACACATTTTTAAAAGCTGACAAATACTTCAACATCACAAAAATCTAGAAAGTCACATAATTTTAAAAAAATTAACTCCTTTTCCCCTAAATTTTTGAATTCATAGTTTTTTTTATTTAAAGATTTTATTTTATTTATTTGACAGAGAGAGAGAGAGAGAGACAGCTAGAGAGGGAACACAAGCAGGGGGAGTGGGAGAGGGAGAAGCAGGCTCCCGGCTGAGCAGAGAGCCCGATGTGGGGCTCGATCCTAGGACCCTGGGATCATAACCTGAGCCGAAGGCTGACGCTCAACGACTGAGCCACCCAGGCACCCCTGAATTCATAGTTTTAATCACTGATTCATACGATAATGATTTTGCAATATCACTTTTTGTAGAGTAAATAGGTAATTTTCTCTTCCCTCTAGCATGGTTGTTCAAACTTTTAAAAACTGATAGTTTAGAAAGTTTTCTTTGAGCATCACAACAATTATTGATGATGTTGTGTAAATATTTAAGATTGTTGTCAAATCTGGGAAAACTATCAGGCTTCTTTCCTCTTTGAGCTGTAAAATTTGGAAGTTTTCCATAGACTAGCTTCTGGCTCCATACATTTCAAACCTGCTTTTCCTCCACTAAACATGTGCATCTAGTGCTGGGCTCTGTAGGAGGCATTCATATTGCCACATAGCCTCAGGCTCTGTACTTTTTTGTGTTAGGACACCTCACACAGGAGTGGTCAGGAGCTCACTGTGGAGGCTGGTCTTGAACAGGCTAGTGGCTGGGGTGGGAGAGAAACAGGTAAATGTGTGTCTTAAGGTAGGGGAATTTGAAGAAGAGATGGCAGGAAATTGAGGGAGTTCCTGCTAATGACTTTAGATTTTACCAGGAGACAAAGGTGGCTATGAGAGGAAGAGATGTTAGAGACAGGGTTGCCAGATTTCAGCAAATAAAAATATAGGACATATTAAATGTGGCACGGGACATAGTTACACTAAAAATTACTCATTGCTTATCTGAAATTCAAATTTAACTGGGCATTCTGTATTTTGTCTCACAAGAGATGGTGGGCCCTTCGAGAGAAAGTGAAGCTTTGGCATAGTCACTGAGGGAATGGGAGAGCTAACCAAAGATTAGTGCAAGGAGGGCCTGATTAAGATTAGACACCAGCAAATTCATGGTGGTGGGAGGGAGGGGGGGGTGTTTCTCAAATGGAGCTCAGCCACTCAGGTGCATTGGCATTCATGCAGCCTGTGATTACAGAAACAAGGTTTAAAATATATGATAAAAGATGGGATTCAGCTAGGTTTCTCGTCTCTTTATGCTTACTATTTGTGCTTTCCATAAAACGAAGGCAGCAGAAATTTTAAAAGAAAGATGTACTGATTATAGACTGGAATCCAAATCACAGAATATGTTAACATAAGAATATTTTATGCTACACTTCCCAAACATGCCATAATATATTCACCCAAAGCAATAAATCCCAAGCTGCACAAGCAAATTATAAACAAATGATAGAAGCTGAAGTTTCCTCTCAAAAGAGGATAAGGAACAGATAATTTAGAAAGAACAGATTTTATTGGAACGTCAATAGTTTTCATGACACAGATACTTAAACTACTCGTTTTCAACATTCCCATATAAAGAAAATTATAAAAGGTTTTTTGTGTGTGTGTTTTTTTTTTTTAAGAAAAGCTAATTTGACAGATGGAGTCTTTTTATGGGATCAGTAGAAGTGATAAAATTGAATAAATTACCAAGATTTTATCTCCATTTCTGTAATTCTCCCTAAAGATTTAGAGGTGGCAGATTGAATCAACTGGGAAATAAATTTGCATGTTTATAACATGTCTAAAACAGGAATTAGAACAAAAACTTCTCACTTGTTTTCGAGAGTGGTTTTTCCTGAGGAAACCTGCTCTTATGAGATCACACATTTCCTAACCAAGTATCAATGTTCATCAAATGGAAATGTATTACAAAAGGTACACGAGGTTCGATGAACAGTGTACTGTCTATTATTATCATTAGTGTTAAAGAACAAATAAAAATAATTATGAACTAAAAAAAATTGGGGCAACTTAACTAAACTCTAGGTAATTTTATGTGGGAGAGGATTTGCTTATGAACAGGCTGGACTAGATTTTGAGTAAAACTGAGCCACAGTATTTTGGTTCACAAGATAGCTAACTCTTGGGATACCCGGGTCACGTGATCACATTACAGAGCTCGCAGTCCTGCCTGCCCCATAAGGAGAAAGTGCAGAAGGACTCCTGCCTGGGTGGTGGTGGCATGTTTTATGCACAGTGTATGTGTCTTACTTCAAGAAAAGCACCCAAAGACCAGATGCACCTCCTTCTACAGAATCCTTAGAGTTACACATCCAGCGGCTCTGGCTTAGACCAGAGTATGAATGGGAAAAGGCAGTGGGATGTAGAGTCTGCACTGAACCATGGGAGATGGTATCTGGAGAATCTGTCAATCCTGTGCCTCTCACCTAATAGGTGAGAATCCTGAAACCCAGAGGGCAGAATTGACTCCTCCAAGCCTCATACACTCACCGAGTGAGTGGCAGAAGTGGGGTCTACATTGGCCAATAGTGAGTGAGACAAAGACTGAAATGGGAAGCCTTAGCAAGTGGAAGCGTCCTTGAGGGCCTCGTCCTAAGTCCTAAGTCAGCTGGCACTGTCATTTTCCATTGGTTTTTGGCATTCTCGAATTCAGTATTTACATAGGAATATTCTCTGCACTCTGTCATTTTTTTCTTTTTCGTTTGAACTTGTTCCATAATAACAGCTTTCTAGATGTGCTTTATTTATGTACCCATTGATAAGAAAAATCTGTGGTAGACAAGGAGTCATGTGGAATGGATTTATCAATTTTTTAAAAAGCAGAAAACCACCTCTTTTGTTTCCTGGTACATTTTTGGCTGCCCACCTCTCTCCTCCATTTGCAAATGTTTGCCTTTGTTCTTGTATTTAGTTAATTTTGTAATGTAAACAGCGAGCAAATCGGAACATTTAAGGATTCTTTCTGCTTATGTATTTAATTGTACTGCAGTGTGTTTGAAGCAGGACCCCTATCATCTCCAACTAAATAGATGGTGGGTAAAAAAAAAAAAAAAAAGGATTTATTTCCCTATTGGGTGTTTTCCCTCTTTGTGTAGGATTCCAATTCCAAATTAGTGTGGTTGCTATGTGTGGAAGAGAGATGTGTCAAGAGAATGCGGCCCCAGGGAAATAAGAAATTGGAAAGAAGTCAGTGCACCCAAACTAAGCACATTGATATCTTCTTTGAGGAAACACTAAGATATTATTTGGATAAAAGATGGCCCTAGAACAAACGTGACGTCGACTGGGCTGGGGGAAGAAGCTGAGAAAACTTGTAACTACAGTTCTCTTTTCCCTCTTCTGCCAAGAGCAGAACGTATCTGCTGGCCCAGCTCACCTGGCTGAAGGCACATCCTGCACTCACCTGGAAGACCTCCCTGACTCTGCTTGACCTGCCCGGCCAATGTTTTCTTCGATAACAGGAACTTTCCTTTTGCTCTGATTGACTGATAGAGGTGAAGCCTTGGAAGTAGACCAGGCATAAATCCTAGCACCACGACCTACTCTGGGGAAGTCCCTCGACTTTTCTTTGCCTCAGTTTCCACAGCTGTAAAACTAGGATCATAATTTGTAACTTGGAGAACCGCCATGAAACGAAATGAGGCAAAAGATGTAAAGCACCTCATGGTGTCTAACGTGCTCTCTTGTCCCTCCTTGCCGCCGACTCCCCTGTTGGTCTGTTGCACGTCTGGCCAGGTTCTGAGAGCAGCCTGCTCTGTCCTCTTTTCCTTCTTTTCTTCCCATCTCAGTTTCTGGCCCTACCCCGGCCTTTCTCCAAATCTAGTATCACGTGATATTGTCTGTGTAAAGTTTTGAAGGTGTTCCTTTGCTAGACATCCTATGGACGGAGGCTTTGTCTTCTGTCCCTCTACACCTTCTCTACTGCATTCTGACGTAGTGATCCCATCTTTAATTATGGCTTTGCCTCATCTATAGGGAAGACTCTCAAATCCATTTCCTGTCCTGACCCCTCAGACCAGTCTTTGCCCTCAACTGTTCCTAGATCTGACCAGTTAAGAGGAAACCATACTATCTGCAATTAGCCATTTTGCAGACACGGCCTGTGAATGCATATTAACATCACCTGTTGTTTTTTTTCCCCAAGATTTTTTATTTATTTTTAACAGAGAAAGAGAATGTACAAGTAGGGGAAGCAGCAGGCAGAGGGAGAAGGAGAAGCAGGCTCCCTGCTCAGCAGGGAGCCTGATGTGGGGCTTGATCCCAGGACCTGGGATCATGACCTGAGCCGAAGACAGCTGCTTAACTGTCTGAGCCAGCCAGGCGCCCCAACATC